TGATCATCCTTTTTTCCTTTTCAGATAATATCTACACCCTCATATCTCAAAGATTCTAATATCTTATGACACATGATGCTCGTTGACCATAATATGTTACTCAAGTTCATCTGATATCTCATCTTACCTCAGTCTTTCCTTCCATCCTGTAGTTGTTGAAGTTCTTTTTACGAATTTTACTTTGTCCACTCACAAATCCTGTTTAGTCTCTGTCAAAAGCTTTAACTAAGAATAAAGAAATTTATATTTTATACTGGTCATTCAACTGATTCATCATTCATCTTCTCTTTCACAGCATCTACTAAATATGACATTAATTTGCATAATCCTTGTATTTAATCGGACAAATCATTGCCCTCTTCTCTCTCTCTCTCTCTCTTACCCATTCTATGCACCTCTCTTTCACTCTCTCTAGCACCTTCTCTCTGTATATCAAATTGTACATATGTTTGTTAAAATGTTCTTCATAACTCTTTCTTATCAATTTCATTCCATCAGTTTTGATTTGTGACTGACTCAACACATCATCCTTCATGAATTCCCTCGTAACGTATCTACTCTCTTCCTCTATCTCTCTCTCTCTCTCTCTATTTTTCATTATATCTCTTTTCTCATATTTCTCATTTAAAATTAAGTGCTCATATCCAAGGTGTCCTAAGTTTCTGCTTCTTTTTCTATGAACGTATTGACCAGACTGAACTAGCCGTTTGAACGCAGCTGTTCCACCTCAGACCCATTCAACTCAAATTATCATACGCTTTCTCACATACAAATTCCTTTTATTATATAATTATATAACAATGAAGCAATAACAAGTTTTATCTTTCTCCTTATTTGTACACAATATCGTATTGATTGATGTCAATCAATATCATTACCAGTTCATATCCGATTTCTATCAACTTCTTCCCCCCCCCAATCTCAGCCACACATCCTACTTTCCTGTATTTACTTATACTCTTCAAACATTTTTTTGTGCAATTCCTATATCCGTTTGGACATAAAGTCCTGTATTTAACACTTAAGATGATATTGGACGTCTATAGAAGCTTTTCTAAATATTCGGACACTTGATGTTCACACACATTCAGTTTGTCAGAGAGAAGGATAGAGAGAGAGAGAGGCAAGTTAAGAAACACACAGTTCTACTAACATCATTAGCAAAACGATTGATTCATCTCCTTCTACCCTTCCTGTCATCTCCAATTGTTTCTTTTACGAAAAAAATCTCTTTGTTCGCAACCAAAAAGAACCCTTTCAATCGATTGACCACTCACCGCTCCCTCAATTTATTCAATTTTTCCGAGTTGTTTTGCTCCTTTTACTTTCTCAACCATGGTGTACACGTGATTTTTCATTTTAATTGGCTAATCTGCCAGTAGAGCGGTTGAAATTTTGTAAAATTTTTGAATTTTATGTGTATTTTTGATAAGATAAGAGAGTCATAATGGTATGGGTACGCTTGTTTCTTTGATTCTCCGTTTATCCGGAAGTTTGACAGCTCTAAGCCAGTCCTAATACAACTATGCTCTTCCTGGAGCTCTGAATGACAGTTTCCCAAATAGAATTTTGGTTATTGTTTGAGACTTCTCAAGCCACTGACCATTATGAAAATAGAAAGAAGCGAGAGGAGAGCTTGAAGCTGGCTGTTTGGACAGTGTCTTACCATCTCATTCCTTTTCTCTTTCTCTGTGTCTTCTTCAAGTTTTCTGACTAATGTTCGACCTTTTGCCTTCCGTTCAATGCCTATCTGTTTCTTCGTATTCAAATTTCAGCTTGTACATGAAGCTTTCTAATTACATTGCATCTCTTTCTTGTCTCTCACTCCTCAATGTTTAATGTCTTTTGATGAATTCCATGATCACCTCGACCTTTTCTAATCCTCAAACCCTGTCCAGTCAGCTTCGTTTTCTATCTTCCATTTCCATCCTCACAGCTTAATCGATCTAATTAGCTTCTTGTTCTTATCATATTCTCTCTCTCTTGAACATAATTATATTTTCTCAAATCTTGATTATAAAAACGACTGACTGTTTCAGCTTTCAATCCATCTCCCCCTTCATCAACCCCCCAATAAGTGTTCTGCCTTTGATTGATTGATCACATAGCTAATACAAGGATTCTGTTCTTCTTTTCCTTTTTTTTCATTTCTGAACCTCTTTTTTCCAATTTATGATTCAATATGGTCATTTCTTGTATTCATATCATTATTATTAGCACAATGACATTGATACCTTCGTTTTCTTGAAAACTTCTTTGAGTCGCATAGACCATTTACTTGCCCTTCATCCTCTCTCCTCTGCCCCGACCTCTCTCTCTCTCTATCTCTTTTTCTCATCCTCTCTCTATCTCTCTCTCTTTCTCACTCTCCACACCAGTTTTCCCTATTAATTTGGATTTTTGTGTTCATTCGGTCATTCATTACATCTTTTCGTCTCCTTTTTTGGTTCATTTCATCATTTTCTTTTCTCCATCTACATAACACGCTAATCATTTTACATTTTAACCTTTTATCTCTTTATTCAACTGTTTTTCCTATTCTCTCTCTCATCTCCAGTCATCTCTAGTCATCTGCCACGCCATCTAACGCTATACTTCCACGTGAACCACGTGTGCGCCTGAAATTCATTTTTCATTTGAACGACACATAGAACGGTTGCTTTTCACAGAGATCTCAATTCATTTTCTCAATTTTCAAGAAAAAATTGATCAATTCAAACAGGATTCTAACACACAGCAGCAGAAGCTTGATCTATTTGTTATTTATATTTTCTTATTTATTGTTGTGGAAAGCTTACATTTAAATACTTCGTTTTAAAACAATCAATCCTTTTCTCTCTTACTTTCTCTCTCTCCGAGTATTCTATTCGTTTGTTAAGCAAAAGGATAGTCCATGATAGATTGTCCATCCTTCTTTCTATTCACCTGTTGACGCCGCTTCTTTCACTTGGCGCTTCTCCGTCAAATTCAAATGTGCCTGGCCTTGTGCCAAGGGACGTGAGAATCTGGTGTCTACAACATGTCTACAATCAACTCATTGCATTCTCTCGACCTCTCCTCCATTCTCCCTCTCTCTCTCTCTCTCACTCCTTTCCCTCTCTATCCATATCAAACTATAGGATATAGTTCGTCTCCAAATTAATTTGACCATCAATCGATATTATTGAAACATTTTCCTTTACAAGTTATAATCATCAAATTTCCTAAACAACATTGTAAACAATAGTATTGTAAAGATTTCTTTGCTCATCTTTTGTATTTTGTTAAACAAACCCCAAATATGGTAAACAGTCGTCTTCTTCTTCTTCTTCTTTACTTGGCCACTCTTTTTGACAGCACATTCAAATGATAGTAAAACAGGTGCCAATCACATCAATTCCACCTGACCAAAAATGGTGTTGAAGCCTTCTTTACCATCTTCCCTCTATCTTTCCCTGTCTCCTCCTTCCCAGCTGACCATTAAAATAACGCAAAAAGCGATAAATATGTTTCATTTTGGCCATCTTCCAACAAGTTGGTGTGTGAAATGAATGCATTCTGTCATTCGGCTACCATTTTTTCCGATTATCTCTCCATTCAATCGAAACTGTTGTATTGGAAGGACATTCATTCCCAACTTCTGAAGCTTCACATGTCGTAGAATATGAATTGTTATTAACATCTGTTTCTTGTAAATGACCACACTCTCTCTTTCTCTCTCTCTCTCTATCTTAGTATGAGTATGTCCCTCTCTCTCTCTCTCTCTCATTCTCTCTTTTTCTTTTCTCGTCATTGAAAGAAAAATATTTTTATTAAAACAAAAAAAAATCTTTGAAAACTGCTATAACACGACAGAAGCCAGTTGTCGTGGAAGTTAGTCCTCTCCTGTCTTGCCCTCAGGGCTTGTTAGCGTTTTGATTTATTGTCGAATTTATCGAAATTTAACAGAACAATCTTTAGCAAATAACAGCCTCGACTGATAAATCTTTATTTTTGGATTGTTCGAGATTACTTTCTGATTCATTGTTTGGTTTTTGAAGCATTTTTTCATTTTGATTTTCCATACAAATGCATATCGATGGATGAGCTCTCATGCATCATCATCTGCTGACCATCTGCCTTACAGTTCTTGTGATTTCAATGATGAAATCTAGATGGAGACTTCAGAATATTTCTTTTCTATATGAGCAACTGTTGAGAGGAGTATGTACTTCCAAATTAACTGGCCGAGAAGCCAATTCATCAACCCATCCTTACGTTAGCTTCTTTTTCTCTCTTGCAATCGGCGGTACGTTTTCTCTTCAAAACTGTTTTATAATCTCTTCCTCCCTCTCTTTCTTTATCACTCTCTTCCACTTTCTCTTGTTGTCGCTCTCTTTTAAACTTTCTTATTTCATTTTAATGAAAAAATGAAAGAGATATAAAAAGTGTGGATGAGAGAGAGAGATCGAGATGAGGAGAGAGAAATACACACCAAGTGCTATTACGAGAATTTTGACCACTTGCCCTCATTTTTGTGCTCTCGATTGTACAATCGGCTTATATCTTTGAAGTATGTTACTTATTAACTTTATATCATATAGTTAAATAGAATTTTATGAGTTGTAAAGAGAATTCCTTTCATCAAGCCGGTTGGATGCGTATGAATGGAAGTCTGCCCATCACCTTGTAATTGAATTGCTTTCATATTGTCTTTTTTATGGCAAATTCGTTTAAAACTTGAAACATCGTTATCACGTACAATCAAAACACTTCTGATGTGTATTCGTCGTCTGTTGTCGTACTTTTCATTTAGTGTTTGACCTTTTTATTTTCCAATTACAGGTTGAACTCTTCTGGCGGTCCTTCGGACGTGAGGATCACTGGAGGTGATGCATTCCTTTTGCTAAGTTTCGTGAAACAGTATCCCCTACGTTTGGATACCATTGAAGCTACTCTCCTCCAGTTTTCCTAGTAACCCTACCGTGGTTACGGAAGTTCTCTTTGAACACAAACCATATACGACATCTTCACCAATCACCATGTCATTTTCTGAACTTGAAAATGAATCGTTTACTCAATTGGAGGACGAATTCTACAAATTGGTAAGTTAATTTCATATAATTAACTGCATTCATCCCATTTGAAACTGTTTGAAAGGCTCACGATTTCATTTGTTTGTCTTTTGAAAGCTGTCAAGGCGATTGCGTGAAATTGATGAGAGATGAAGCTCAGCTCTCATTTATCATTATTAAATTGAGAAATCATGCACCGATTCTTCAGATACTCTTGTCTCTCCAAACTTCGTACTCTCAAATAGCAAAATTCATTCTGAACCTCATGACAGCACATAGCGGTTGTGCATCCCCCTCCTCACCATCTCACCTTCTCAATGGCTTTTCGCCCAAATCCATTGATGGCACTAAATTATTTTTTATTTTTATTGTTTCGCAAATAATTTATTCATTTCTTGAGAGTATTTTGTGATTTTATCTCAAATTCAACGACCTCCACATCGTCGTCCCTGCTAAGTTGGTTTTTAAAAAGTTTTCTTTGCAGTCTTCTACAACTACGGAAGTCGATCTGTTCTTAGAGAATTGTAGTTCTCTTTACAATCTCATATTGGATTCACTTCATGATTACTCGTCCAAGGTAAGGAAAAGCTTGATAATAGCTTTTGAAATCGAATACTATTGTTTCTTCTTATGTCAACATATCGTTTCATTCAGATGGTAATCAACTAAGCTTACGTCTTTACTCTCATATCTCTTCTCTTGACCATTTATTATGCATCTCTCTAATCCTATCCATTGAGATATATCTTGCGTGCTCGTGCTCGTTTCTTCAGAGCTCATACATGTGAACAAGCTATAATCTGACTTTTGAATGTTGTATATGATTGTTATATATCGAGTTAGTTAATGATTCATCATCAGCTTCTAACCCACCATCACCCTTCTCCATAATCTTGAAATCGGAGTGTCTTCTTGAATATTTCATGGAGAACTTCCCACGCTCTGTGTACAGATGACATATCGATTCGAAAGAATAGTTATTAGATCAATTCATATTCTCACGTAATATCTTTGTTTGTTATTGTTTCGCTTCATTGCCTACAGTCAATAGATCATCTTCAACTATTTCATAACATTTTGCACTTCACCTTCCTTCTTAGTCTCATTTACATAGTCTTCCATTCTTCCAATCAGTTCCATCTACTTCCTAATAACTTTGTCTTCATCTCTGCTTCATTCTACAATCAACTTCTTCTTCGATTATGCTCTATATACAAGCCACTCGCTTGTATTTCAATTAGCGCAGTTTATAGAAGATCGATAACTTAGAATCTGCTTGCGCGAATTCTAATACAGTTTCATTATGCTAATTTCTGTTTCTCGGGTCGCTTTTCATTTTATTCTCGCACAACCAGTCTAACTTACCATTCATATGAAAGACGTTCCGAATACGTGAGGTTCACGTCACGTAGCATTCACGTATTTCACGTAGCTAACATAGACCCCATTCTCCATTTTGCCAACTTGCAAAGCGGTTCACCGAGTATTGGGTCAGTTTATAAATTCTATTCTATACAGCTATTTTGTTATAATTATTTCCTTTTGAACACTTGCTAACAGACTATTCAGAAGCATAGTAAAGGCTTTACTATGCTTCTGTTGGTTTACATTTACAATTGTTGTTCCTTACTTATCATTACTTAGTGACATTAATGAGTTAAGTTGAATAGATGCCCTGAGGCATATCTGATCATCTTCATTTCATTCAATCTCTCACAATCATCTGTTAACAATTGATTGCTTCCTTAGATTTATGACCTTAACCATTATCACTTTCTATATTGTAATATTAGGAAAGATCATTAATTATGGTAATTAATCCTATGGCCTCTTGTTTAAGCTTCTTCTCTTATATGAAAATCATTTTAAACATTTCATAAGCATTAAGTAGACTTAGAGGAATGTCCTTTATTGACCAAAGCAGAAGGATCTTCAGACATCCTTATGCCATCTGTGCCTTCTTTCTGATCTTCTTATTCGGAAGAATCCTCCTCTTCACTATCCAACTACTCCCAACTAACTATCCATTCTCATATTACTCTCTTAACTATATAAACACATATGTTTATAACTTTTATTTTATTACTTTCCGTCCTTCTATGCCATTTATCGCTTCGTCAAGCATTTTTTGATTATTTTTTTGTTAAGAAAGGTCCTTGACATAAACCTGTTTCTATTGAAACTTCAAAAATGGCTTCCTCTCCTTCTATGATTGTATATGTGAATGAGAGAGAGCAAGCTTGACCTCGTCCTACTGAATTGATACTTTTACCTTATCTATATATCTTCCCTCCCCCCCCCCACCATATTATTTGCTTAAATCAATCTTCTATAAAACATGGCCGTCACAAACATTTTTCTTTTTTTTTTCTTTTCTGCCTTTACAAGCTTTTCGACACCTTCCATTGGCTTTTTTTCTGTTCACTTGACTAAAGTGACTTCTTTTGACCATTCGCACAACAAATGAGTTGACCCAGCTTTTTTAGTGCCATTTGTTTTTCTCCCAAGAGAATATAGCAGCATCCTGTGTGATGACAGAAATAGAAGGAGAATCTTCTATTATTTCATTTTTTGTTCTTTTCTGCAGCGTGCTTTAGAAAAGAGCAGACTGAAGCTTCATTCGAAGCATCTGGGTTACATTTGATTTGAATTTTCTTTTGCCGCTGCCACCAACCATTGAAGTTTCTTTCATTTTCCCGCTTATGTGTTTATATGACCGAGTTACCTGTTTATTTAAGCTTTTCTACCTTCCATAATAGAAATAAGCTCATTTTCGATTTGAAAACTGTAGTGATGAGCGATCTATGCATTCATTTCATGTCTCATCCGACCTTTTCTGATTACATATGCTAATTATTCTTTTGTATTCATTGATTGCTTCTTCCATTCATCTTCTTTCCTTAAGCTTAATTAGAATGAAGATCTTCTCTAACAGAAAATGGTAAAGAAGAGAATGAAAGAAGGTTTTTAGTTTTTGTTTCTCAAAGCTTCATCCATCCATGCTACTATGGTCATGGTTTATTGACAAGATGCTTATATGATGAAGCTTTTGCCTATTATGGTACTTAAGTGAATTGTTTGTGATGACCGATGGATTAATTAGCGGTTTCATCATCATCTTTTCCTTCTGTTCACAGATTTATTAGATAATATCAAATTTGCTTCTATTTCAGACACTCACATGTCTTCATTTGGATGAAATGTCGTCTGTACTCACGGAAGCTGGTCGCCGTGTAATGGAAGATCATCCCGAAATGGCCGGTAACTATTTTTATATTATTTTATACAAACTATTTATTATATTAATTATAGGAACAGTTACACTACGAATCAATACTATTAGTTCTGCCATGGAACAATTGAAACTCCGACGAAGTGGCACCTCAGACACCGAATCTTCATGTAACTTGTACTATTAGAATCATTTGATCATCATGATCATGTTATAGGTTCTCGTTCAAATCCTAATGCTGAAGTCCGTAACTGGCTTCATAGCGTTGAAAATCGTTTGAAAGAACATGAAATGATTATTCGTCAAAGAAGGAATCACAAACCCTCCATAACCAAATTACTGGCTGACCAACAGGTATGACTACTTCTATCTTCTTTTCCCACTTCTTAGCCATCTTCATGAATTCTCATTTTCTGCACTAATTTTCCCACATTGTTCATATTGAAATGACAACCTAATTGCTGGTTTTCCTCAGTTTTTCTTAAGAAACTGACATGCAAACAAGGTTAATGACAGATGTCCTCACCTTCCTTCTGATGGGTCATTTTACTTATTCATCCAACCACCCTCATCACGCATCTAAAAATTCTTTTTTAAAACCTCTTGCAAGTTGGAACATAATTAAAGATAACCGGATTGTTTACAATCATTTTGTATTCAGTCATTCCTTGTCACTCAGTGACCTCTAAGCTTCTAGCGAAGTAATAGTAAAGCTTGAGTTGTCTTTGTCTGTCTATGCCACTTGCTCATAACGATTGTGTTTTTTCATTCAAAATATTATTTTTGACAACAATTTGTTGGGTCAAAGCAGTTTTTGATGTGAAAGCTGATCGGAGAAAAGATAGAATACGTTAATCCCGTTTTATTGAAGCCACTTAGTTACTTTTCCGTGACATAGACCATGCACCTGCAGACCATCTGGTACATCGTCAGCTCTTTTTGCTCTATATGGCAGTCTATAAGTTTCCTGCTTAACTATAGGTGTCTCTTTTGGCTTCAAAACAAACTCTTTGTTGTCTTTTTAAAAATTCCCTGTTGGAACTCGTATGGGAGGTCAAGCTTTGCAATCTTCTATTGTGACAAGTGAGAATGGGAGTCTTGGAAACAATCAAGAATCTTTCATTTGTGCATCAGCTTTAAGTCTGAAAATGAATAAATTTCTGTGTGTAACTAGCTGTTACATGTAATAATCCGATCGTCATTTGTGTATTCAAAAGCCTTCTTCATCTATGATGACAAGAAGTTACAAACATTATTTGTGTTATCATATACAAATATATAGATTGATATGTTTCTGCTTCTTATACACATCCTCTCATTCACCTTCTCTCCATTCCATCCTTTTGTTGATATTTTCTTCTGTCTTTCTCCTTTTTTGGGATGAGAAGAAACTACTTGGCCTTTATCTTTTCATCATCTGTTATTCTAACCGTAACCACTAACTGACTAATCGTACATATCGTTCATTACCCTTCCTCTTTCTCTCTTTTTACAAATTTCCATTTCTCTCTCTCTTTTAAAACTTTTCAAAACCCCTCTGGCTATCATAGGGTATATTGAAACTAACCTGTTCCCAATGAAATACTCTTATTCTCACTTTCTTTATGTCCTCCGTTTCATGCCAATCGAGCCGTCTATCCGGTATTCTCTTAACCCCAAGTCCGGGATTTCGAGCGTCCAGTTTATTCATTCAATATAGCTTTTCATCCTTGAATCGCTTTTTGTGAGTATTCTGAAGAGATTAAGAGGAAGCAGAGAGATAGTACCATCTCAGTGTTTCGCATGCATTTCACTTCTTATTTATTTTGAATATTATTTCTCTTCAAGATCATGTCTTTTGTATTCTCTCTCATCAATCTTCTCTCGTCCTCAAAGCTTATATTACCAAACTCTTCTTCCCTCATACACATCATGCCGTACCCCCTAAGAAAACAAGCCGACAATGTCTTCCAAACTTCCCAAAACTAATTTTTACGTTCTTCCTCCCTCTCATCATCTTCATCCAGTTTTTTCTTCCATCACCAACATATGTTGATCGACGGATTAATATTTCATACGTGCACCTTTAATATGTAATTCAGTCGAGTCCTTCTTACATGCTTGCCAATCATTTCATTTTCTTCTGCCTTTACAGACGTTTCATTCCCATGTGAACGGTCATTCATTGTAGTCAGTCTAGTTTGCTTTTCTAAGGCCGAATAATCCCTCTCTGATCTTGTAAGAAACTACAAAAAAAAGAGACATTTTCTATATAGCTATTGTACCTTTCGCGAGACAGAGAGAATAGGAGAGAGAGGGAAAGAGAGAGAGAGAGAGAGAGAGATACCTTTAATTCATTGACAGTCGACCATCAATCCATCTTTATGACTTAGGCTGAGGCCAATCTGTTGCATATCCTCCTTATCTTATTAGTTAGTAATTGAAATTGAAAAACGTTTTACATTAATCTTTTAAGAAGAACCAAGGTGTCCTTGGCTTCATCTACGTCAACCTCGTTCTGTTGTTGTAACTTTCATATCAATTTATCATGTAATTCCTATTTTTTTGGGGGGAGTATTCATGAAGACTTTAATGGCTTTTCTCTCGTTTCGTTCATCGGACAAACGACTTTCAAACACCCTTTCTATAGAGTTCTCTTCTTATTTTCTAATTGTAGGTTCTTCAATTGGAAATCCAAACTGAAGGTCAAGCTTTAATATCAAGACTCTACCAGAACATTAGGTCAGTTTTTCATTTTCATGAGCATTGTTGGTTTTTTGTCTGCTTTTCATATGTACGAGGCCATTCAGACGATTATGATATTTCAGTTTTGAATCTGTAGAGAGCGGACTTTGTGAGAACTCGACACGTAAGAAGAAATCAACGATTGATGCAATTCGTAAGAAATGGCATACAATCTATTTGAATAGTCTATCGTTGCAATTTAAAATCGAAGAAGTTCTTAATCAATACCAGGTACGCTTCCTTTCTCTCTTATAAGGACTGTAAGTGTGTGTGAGAGAATCCTACTCAATTAACATGTTGCTGTGCGGCTTCCATCCTATTGTCAAATCGTTTTTCCACAATATGAGATTAGTACGCAATGCTTATGTCAATCGTTTTTCAAGTTTTTGCATAATTTTCACACCAAATTATCATAGTGAAACAGATTAAGTTGTCTGTCGAACCATTCCGGCTGGTTTGGTTACTTCCTTTCGGCTTTCTATTTCCTTTCATCCAACATTCCATTTGTTTCATAGTTATATATGGTTAATTAACTGTATTTACTATATTTTAATTCATTCAGGTCATGTGACGAAATGTTCATTTCCATACTGTAATTACATCCAGTATTGTATAAACCTTTGATGGTTTATGAAATGAAATATCCTCCTCACCTCCCTCTTCACTCCCTCACTCTCACTATTTCTCAATCTGTATTAAAGAGGGAGATAGATAGTTGTTAAGAGAGAGAGAAAGAGAAATAATGAGAGAGACAGAAAGTGATGGTCTAAACTTATAGCCCTCAAATGGCAATCAAACCGACCTTGTTAGGAAATTCTTTTCCGAAATATTTGTCAACATGGTTCACCCCCCCCCCTTACTCCCACCACCACACACTTCATCTTTGACTACTTTGATTAAAAAATGACAGAAAATTTCATTAAATTCTTTCACCTTGTCCATGTTTGTCGGCGATGGAAGAAAATAAAAGAAAATGTGTCTCCGTTTCTCCTTTTCGTCACCGCCATCTGTCTTCAATAACAGTTAGCGGGCAGCTCCTTCAATTCCTCATAATTCCTGTCTTCTTTAACTCTACCCTAACAACAGCTGTGTTGAAAAAGAGAGATCAAACCACAATCGTTGCCCATAAGAATGTTTCACTTGTTAGCTTGTGAATGGAGTCTGCTTGCAATGAACTTGGAAGACACGTTCACATCAACAGTAATCCCATTACAATTGCTTCTCCGTTAGTTTGTCGTCGTCTCCTTCACCCCCTCCCTTCACCCTACAATTGTATATGTTCACCTATAACTCTCAAAACTCAAGAAGTCATATTACAGCCTGAAGGCTAATTGAGTGACAGATTGTGAATGATTACGAACTTTGACACCTTTCTTAATATCTGTATTAACATTTCCTTTCATCATTTCAATAATATCGCCAACCACTGAATGCATCTTCGACCTCATTCTCTGTCTTTACTGCTCTGCGTAGTTGTGTTTGGTCAACAAACCATTTCCATACAAAACCTTCTTTTCACCTGTTCACAAAAAATATTTGTTATAATCTCTCTCTCTCATTCTCTCTCGTTCTTTCTTAATTATTAGTTGGTGTAAGAGTAGCCTCAATAAGAAAGGTCAGATTGAGCTTACAAGTCACGCCTTCGAAGACATTGCTTTCATGGCCTCCTGAGACATGTTGCATATTCCTTCAAGCGTTGAATGTAGTTGAAATTGAAAGAATATTTTAATTGAAATAAGATAAGCATCTTCTTGCGTCATATAAATATTAATATGTTACAACCTTTATGAAGTCCCATCACAAATGATTGTCTCTCCCTCCTCCCCAAGTTTTACATTACGCTCTTCATCATTGGCAGATTACATTTCAAATATCTTCCAATTCATATCGTTAGATGCAATGACAAACTTCTAGCTTTTACAAGATGTTCCTCCTTTTGACGTTTTCAAATCCAACTTTTTCTATTTCAAAGTGCTTTTGCCTACACTTAACGCCTTCACTTTTTTCCACTATGAGCTATACAACCTCATGTGTTATTCAGAATTCTTGTTCAGACAAATGCTCCTCTTCCAATAATTAGCTGCACTTAGCTTCTTCTCCTATGTTTTCATTCATCACCTATGTTTTTGGTCACCTACCTCATCACCTCACTAACTCACTTCTATTAGTAGCATTTGATGCTATGCGCATGTCTGTTATCTAAATTGCCTCCAGCAATAACGAACATTTATAGCTCGAATTTCACTTGAAGACTTTCGGTTTTCAATTTTCGACACGTCTAATTCTCCGTCGGTTTTAAGTGATGAATGATGGAGAGTTATTAAATGGGAGAGTTGAGAGAAGAAGAACATACAACCTGCTAGGTTTTCGTTTTCTTTACATTTTACCGGCGATTCTCCTCATGTCTGAGCTTCTATTTACATTAGATATTCAGCTTTACTGTCGCAACTTATCTTTTATGTCAAATTCGGAAATACTTTGGCAGTTTTTCGACTTCGCATGGATTCATTCCCCTTGCGGCAATTGTATAATTAGACCTTTTATGGAGTGTTGCTAGTCATTCCGTTAACAAATTTGTTTACCTTATATGACCGATGATTGACTGAATCATTTGAGTTGACCGCCAGTTGAAAGGAGTTGAGCCAAATGACAACATGTCCAATCATTGTCCCTCTTCAGCGATTGTCATCCTCCTTCAGATGATGTTATCTCCATCTTAACCATTTTTATATTGTAAATGCTTGTAAATCATCTCCTTTGTTAAATGAAAGAGATGTTAAGAGGTTGAATAGACCAATTGACTATAAGCTTATCCATTCTAATCTGATATAAGTCAATAAGGTCAACTAATCATCTATTCTGATAGAGCTGTGTGCTCAGATAAACAAACATTTCTTTAAAGGGAGCAGCTTGGACGTCTACCTTAGCCATCTGCCATTTGTTATTCCCTCATTTGCATTTTCTCTCTCTATCTATCTCTCTCTCTCTTTTTCTCTAACCTTGGTTTTACCTTATATCCAAATAATTGGCCAAACGCAGTTGACCATGCATGACGTCATGACGACCATATAAACCTACCAGTTGCTGGTAATGTATAATTACCTGTAATAGTTATAATATTAAGCTTACAATTGAATATTTGCATAGCAAGCATGCTTTCTGTTACCATTAGATCGTCTCCATTTTCGTCAAGTTATTGTTAGAAGTTTGCTCAATTATGTTGCGAAACGCTCAGTTCTCATTCGTGACCTGAGAGAACTGTAGAGAACTAGTTGAATGCTTTATGTGAGAAAAGAGAAATGAAAATGGATTTTATGTCAAATTTCAATTCGTTTTTGCAATTGTTATGTGTATTTGTTAAGTTTATTAAAGTTTGTTTTGTAGGAAGATAGTGAATCTGAAAGTGATCCCGAACTTGTTGGTCCTCCAACTAAACGAGCACGTCGTCATAGTGGTAATCAATTGGATTCTGAAGACGACGAAGACAAAGAAGACGAAGACGAAGATACACTGCCCTTCAACGATAGTGAATACGAAAGTATTATGGATGGAAGGTATCATCTTTTCACTAGAAGTTATTCTTACGTCTATTTTTAAGAACAACTGTCACCTCTGAGTCTTCGGAAGAATCACCCATTCGAACGAAAAAATGGGATTCGATTCAGCAAGATATTGGCTATTCCAGTGGTGAAAACTCTGTACATGAAGCGTTGAATACCTTAGGAGCAGGGTGAGTTATAGTTTTCCGATTTTTTTTTATTTCGTCCTGAGTAGACTTAACGCATCTTTTATGAGATGGATAACGATTCTCTTCTGTCTACCGGTTTTTCAAGACCAGCTGTAACTGTTTTTAGTTTTTAAGCAGCTGTTCATAGACTTTTGAGCTTTTTTCTTGAATTAGTCCCTATTCGGTAGCGAAACTTAAGTCAAATAACTTCTCTCAACTACTTCTAACGTCCATCTCTCACTTAACAGTAGTCAACTGATCCTTCTACTTGAGTTACTCTCCCTAACACCTTTAAGATTAGTTAACGATAGGTCTGTTCTCATTCACTACTTCACACCTTTTGTATTAACTATGTTAGGAGTTATTATTTATCACACAGAACGGTTTCATTCTAAATCGCTCAGAGCGGCTGCATTCTACTACGCTTAGAGCGGCTGCATTCCGAATCGTTCAAAACGGTTGCATTCCACTTCGCTCAGAGCGGCTGCATTCTGAATCGCACATAACGCTTGCATTCCGAACCGTCGACGTGATCAAATCCTAGATCATTTCTGACAGTTGTTTACTCGGTATTCGAGACTCCGTACTTCCACCACGATAAATGAAAGGTGCTTTATCGCTGTCCAAAGCTTCTATCATATAAGTGATTGTAACACTTCATCTCTTTTGATAGGGGTTTGAGAAGATTGTCAGAATGCAAGTTTTGAGAAATGTTTTGCCTCAATTCTGTCATGTCGACATGACAAATGAAACTTTTGGTGGTACATGCAAGCACCCTCAGAATCTTTCATTTGACCGATCTGGTTGAGGTTAACATGCAAGTGCCATGTGCTTGTTATAAACGGCCTTTTGATAAATGCGAATATTTCTATAAAACGATATGACTTGAGTATATGCCCCCAGGGGGATTTAAGAGCAAGACTTTATTAGTAACAATAAAGAGAATATTATAGGATCAGTGGGGAATCGCCAAAAAGCCGATCAGCAAAGGGATTCTATCGTATGGTCTTAGATGATATGGACATCAAGAAAGCATTGGATATGAAGAATGATGGCTTATCAAACCAATTAACTGATTCCATGCATGTCAATTATGAACAAAGTAGCATAATTCTACCCGACTTTGGTAGTCACATAACTATATCACAAGAATACAATGAATCAATGGTTTCAGATGAAGTGATGGCTTTACTAGATGAAGATACGATGGGAAATAAAGATGTCATGAGCGAAAGCTTCAACACTAAATGGTGTGAGATTAGAGCTCGTCAATCAACTCGTCGTTCTCGTGTCAGTAAAGAGTTCCTTGACCAAATGGCAAAGGTATTCACAAACTCTATATATGATTTTACAAGGATTGTTTAGAACTCATGTGATGCTTCATCCGAAGATTCACTCGATTATGATGTACCCGAAGATGATTTGATGACGAGGTTGAGATAATAAGTCAATAGTGACCATAATCGTGTTCTTCAGATCTTTCAACACAAATCTATTAGACAGCACATCATCATTGAAGAGGAATAGAAGTCAAAGAGGAAGAAGCTCAAACATCTTGGTTTTCATATCATTCTTCTTCCTTGTTTCATTTCTTTATTTTAGTGGGATTGTTCCGAAATGGAAGCTTCTATCTGCTCAACTCGTTCTGAGTTGCCACCATGCTTAGGTCGTAGTCTTCGCAAGAAACTGCGTGTCCGTCGTATGCCACGAAGTATGAGCGACGGAGAGCACTTGGCTTCCAAGGCCATAGGTAGAAAAACTTAATTTGACTCGTTAAGTTGTATAATTATTCATAAATTATAGGATTGTTGACACCAAGGATACGAGTCTCGCCACCACCAACACCATTGTCCTCCTCAACTCGATTACTGCAACAGTTGGACAGAGATTTGGCGGCTGCGACGGAAAGTGATTCCACATGCCCAGAACAAAGTGATACTCCCGTTTATGAATGGGATGATTATAACGTATGTTTCATCCAAAATATATCTCTAAGCCAATCAAAAATGAAGACAAAAGCTTCCCGATTATCGAAAACATCATCTATATGTACATATGGAATGCTTTTGCATTTTATTGTCTCTCTCTCTCTCTATCTCTCTCTCTCTTACTCTCTCTATCTCTTTCTCTCTATAATTTCTTAGCCTTGAATGATCCTTTTGTACTTCATATGTAAGCCTATCATGGCGTATTCGATGCTCTTCCCTCGCATATTGGCGGAAGTCAGCACACCTCAACTCACGGCAAACTGGATTCCTCCTTCTCTTTCAATGTTTCTCACTTGTGTATACTCAATTTCTTAGATTTTACATTTTCTCTTTCTGTTTTCTTTTTTTACACGCAAATAGAAGGAAACAGATGGTAAAATTAGTCAAAGAATTAAAAAATTCCTGTTGCCAATAGTGATGAGCTTCTTCTCATGGCTTCTGTTTGTCCTGAAGCTTAGATCTCTCGTTAGTTACATGATATTGCTTACGTTTAACGTCCTTTCTTACCTTTTTGACTTGAAATAACATGAAAATGGTATTAATTGCTATTCTCTTGTTTCCATATTCAAAATTGACAGTTTATACAGCTTGCGATAGCCTTATTTGACCATCAAACCCTCATGAAGTCTATTTGAAAGAAGAAATTCTTATTTCTCATCTTTTTTTATGCATAATGTTGTTTGGTTTCATATTGATCGTTCTCATCGTGACTGTTGAAGTTAGAATTCTAACGATGAACCATCATCTCAATAATTCTCAAATGAAACATCGTACAGCTTGATAGTATGCACAAACCACTACCTCGTTCCATATATGTTGTGGATGTCCTCCTTCTAAGATGTCCATTCTGTCCACTCCTCTTGAAACATTTGTTAATTTCCGGTACACCACATAACGTTCCTTCTTCCTTTCATGAAGAATATCTTTTCTGACTATATGTCGGTTACCTATATAGTATGTATATATTAAATTTTCTCTCGTCTCTCCTATGTTTACATTATCTTTTCATCATTTTCATGGTCCCTAGACAATTGTCTGCACTCTCTCATACACTCATTCACTCTCTCATGTAATTATGGACAGGTGCTGGCCGAGGCAGCAGCCAATATCCATAAATGACACCCACTTCGGCTGTTCCAAGCCATTTCCAGCTCTCTTTCGTTATTCCATTTATTAAAATAGCAAAAAAAGATAATTAAGTGTGTGCTAAAATTAAATTTCATGTTTGCAGCCTCCTGAGAAGGACGATTCCATTCCTGACGACTTGTGCTCCATAAGCACCAAGATGCCAGAACAAATTCTGGATATTGATGATGATTTTGCCCAACATTTCGGAACATCTAATGTACGTTCACGTAGAATAGCTGATAGATTCATATTCTGTTTGAATTATAGGATTCAGCAAGACGTTTGATTGATGAATCAAAAGCGCATCTGAAAGTAATCGAAAAATGCTTGGAGAACGGTGATATCGATCAAAAGCAAATTGTAATTTGTTGTTTTTCGTTCAATTAATCTTATTTTCATTTTCAGGCCAATATAGAGTTGATTTGTCGTACAAATTTACGTCAGATCGATACGGCAATCTTGATTGGAAGGGATCTTGGAGAGTTGAGAACATTAAGAGGAAATTGGTCAAATATGATGAAGTCGGTCATCAATCCAGCTGCTCAGATTCTGCAAAAGGTAAAAGCTCTTCAGAAAGTATTATTTTACACAAATATTGTTTGTAGATTGCAAGATTCGCTTCTTCTTTACGTGATCTGCACGAGACATCATCTTTGAGTGCCTGGAACGGAATTTCCCAAATCAAAACTCATGATGATCTTCGTTCTGTCCTGACAGCTATAACAGCTATCCAAGGAAGATTGAGCGAAGAGCGTGATGAACTCAGGTTTGAATTGAATATCAACTTCTTCTTCTCAACGTTATCTTTAGGTCATTAGTGAAGAGTAAACTGTTCCAAAGCGAGCTGTCTGAGATTTCTTCGGAGTTTGAGACAATCTCTTTGGGCTACGATGAAGCTGTCACGAAGATTGATACTCTTGTTTCATCTCTCAAAAAATTGAGTAATGATTGGTCAGATTGGAGTAGGAAACAACAGGAGATCCGTAGTTGTATGGGAGTTATCGAAGAGCAACTGCAAAGCCCCAATATGGATCAAGCTTGTGTCCTAGCTCAGATCAACGAGTGTCAAGAGCAAATGCATGTGTAAGTATTGAAATGCATTAACCATTCTTTAAATTATATATTAAAGGTTGGAATCCAAATGCTCCTATCTAACCACATCTCTTCTATCTCTACAAGATGATGACAGCCAGTCAGCTTCCAAGATTTCAGCCGATTTTCATGCCGAGTTGATTCTCTATTCCAATGCCTTACTACAGCTCAGAACTAAGTAAGTCATCTTATTGATTGATTTTCATTATACGTCTTCGTTAAGGTTCCAAGACCTGGTCAGAGTACCAACTCCTCCTGCTCCTTTCAGTCCTATCGCGGCTTCCACTCCTCTCAAACGAAAGGCCAAAACGAGATCAACCATAACACAAACAATAGAGACACCACGTGTTGAAGTTGTTCATGTTGTTCAATCTCCACGAGTAGGATTAATTGGCCGAGTTTACAAGACGATCTCTTCGTCATGGCTATTAAAAAGTCTTTTTGCTCTCTCCTTAGCCACAGCTCTCGCTGCTTTATTCTGGTCAACTTTCTTAGGACGAACATTCGGTCCCCATCTATCTTATATAAATGGTCCTCCACCGATGTAAGCCTTACGTCATTAGGAATATCTTTTCTTAACAAACAGTATCTCGCTCCTATTTGTCAGTTTTTATTTTCTCACTTTTGTATTGAGGAAAGCGATAAGCCTCATGTCGGGTATATATTTAGTAATGAAAGCACTACACTCATTCATCCATCATCTAATTTCATTGAAATGCGATCTTGCTAATCAAAAACGAAAAAATCTTTCTATGAAAGACTTGTCTCACTCATTTTCTCTCTCCCTCTCTCCCCCTCTCTCTATCTCTCTATTGCCTTCTACGAATTGTTCAGGTGAAATACGTATTGCCTATCAGATTTAGAATAGCAACCTCCCTCTATGTCCCATAATAATAATAAATAAAATTAATTCTTTGATCTGATTTCATATTCTCTAAACTTCTGTCGAATGGCACTTAACCTCCCGTGACCAAATGTGTTTACACTTATAAAATGAAACGAAATATTTTAAGTTATTAAGACTAACACACACACTTCTGTATTCGTTGATACTCGGTCTATATATGGACAAAAATAAGAATATCTTCTGTTATTCATCAAATTCTTTGTTGTTATCGATTTTCATCGAATTTTTCTTTTTTTTTTACTTCCTTGTAATGTGCATTTTCAGTCAAACTGTTTTGGCTACATTCATATCTAATAAATAATAAAACATTAAATCATTTTATTCGTTTAAAAACTCATTTTATTAGTTTGAAAGTATAAAGCAACCATTCTGCACGCCGTTTCATGAATGAAATGAGTAGAAAACCAACATGACGTAGACACGTGCATTGCATATGCTAATGAGATGAATGAAGTTGTCGAGAGATTGTTGTTGTCCATTGATTAGGTTTACGTGGATTTTGTAATGACATTAATTGACGGAAGAATATCAAAAAGGACTTTCTCAATCTCCTTCAAAGACAAAACTTGAAAAGAATATGAGAATGAATGAACATACTTGTTGAATACGAGATAGATGATAGGATGAATACCGTTCATCACTATCCATATAAGCAAAGAAACTGAATGTGAAATATAATTTGAAGGAAAGAAGCTCATAATGTATGTCCAATACACATATGTGAAAAGAAAATATAACAACAGCAATGAAATCTGTATAAAACACAATGTAACAGTAAGAATGAAGAGAAATATCACCTGGATTGTAAGACGTCTCTCAACTTTTGTCAGCTTCGACTGAGTCTTGAACAGATGTACATGATGAACGTGTGGTAAGAATAGCTTACCTTCAGAGCTATGTAAATGAAGATGGCAGAATATGTGAGGAGTGAGCATATGACAACTAGAAGTACTAGATAGTTACCAACGTAGAGCATAACCGTAGCGACTTCGTTGTCATCTATCAACGGTCCCCAATAGAGTTGTTGTGTAATAAAGATATAGTTGTTACGAGGTAATAACTTGAGAATGCAACAAGCAAGAAACATCAAGAAACATAGTAAATAACAAAACTGAAAGAGTATCGGATAAGCTGATTATCACAAGATTCAATGCTTTACCCTATAAATATAAGTTGTTACGGTATATGACGAGTATCTAGAGAATAGGATTTCGATCACTCGGTTCACATTCAAAAACAGCATAAGCATTAACATACAATCCCATAAACCAGTGAGTACGGCTCCCGTAATCTTAATCAATGAATATGAGAAGTATATGAATGAAATGAAAAAAAAACTTTGTTAATCATGTCTTTTGTGACATCTATATCGTTGATGACAAGAATTCCAGAGTATAGATGAATGATGAGTTGTAGTATATCAGTTATTCCAATCCATGTCATAATGGTATAAGCTCTTGATTGAGAATATTCCTTGTCAGTTAAGAAAATCTAAAGAAAAATGAAAATTATGAAATAAAGAGAGAGAGAAGGATGAGAGGATGAAACTTACAATGACTATAGGCACATAGAGAATGCAAAACACGAAAGATAGTATAACTATAGAAGCTCCTACACAAATCTCTAGATAACGATTGGTTATTTCTTCGCTGGATGACATTTGGCTATGAAATGGATTATATTTTGGTGGGAAAGTTATAAAATCGAGTTATGCATTATATTTAATTTATACTGGCAATGGAAGCAAATTGATCTCTAATAGCGGTACACTTCTTGTTTTTGATTTCTTTCTCAAATGCTTCTGATGTCTGAAATTGAACGGAGAAAAGTCGAAAATAAATGTTTATTTACACTCATTACACACACGTAACATTCAATACATACACACGTATATACAGTTGAATAGATTAATAGACTAAAGGCGTAACTATGATATCTTGGTCTTGAGGTAGAAGTACTCCGGCGTTTATTGGTTCCAGAGTGATAGGATGATCAGGATGTTCTTCTAACTGAAACAACATTTCCAAAATATTAATTTTCTATTTTGTTTGTTTACTTTGAAATTTTGCACCAAACTGACGGCTCCAAGGAAAAGCTCCAAACGCGCCAATCCTTCTCCGGCGCATTGTCGTTTACCCATTGAGAATGGAACTAACTGTTCAAGTACATCCTGGATAGAGACTCAATGATTATAGACCAAACTCATACAGTTTTACCTTTCTTGTAGTTTTGCCGTCCTCTTCTAAGAATCTTTCTGGCATGAACTTGTCAGAATCAACGAACACTTTAGAAGCTCTGAGAACCTCCTTTAAAACCATATTACTCTTAGCTTATATCAGTTTTGTAACTCACATGAATCTGCGCTATCACTAACGAGTTCGCTGGAATGGAATGTTTCAAAACAGAGGTGTCTCTCACGGCTCTATGAACAACGTTCATAGAGATGATATTAGCTTTTCTTTGAATCTCGTTGATAACAGCGCTGCAAAATCATTTTTCATACTTGGAAGATTCTATTCAGTTTCTCACTTCGAGTATGGAAGTCTTGGCTTATCGGCCAAAGTTGGAAAATTGTGTCCTATTGTGGCTTCAATCTCAGCTCTCATTTTATTCTGCAGTACCAGATAATTACAAGTAAACATCCGTAACTGCTTACTTGGACGTCCTGGTGTTTAGCAAGATAGAGTATCGACCAACGTAATGTGGTCGATGTAGTCTCCATACCAGCTAAATAGAAGTCCATACAGACATTTAATAAGTTTTCCTCTCTGTAAAAAACATTTCAAACATGTAAAAAACAATGCAATGCTCACTTATATGTCCCTTCTCTCATTTTCTTTTGATAATAGGATTGACAGAAGTTTTCAGGTTCCATAGATTCATCGTATCCTTCTAATGCTGACTTCATATCCTTCTCAACATAGTCGTACATCTAAGTTTAGTTTTCTATGTACTTCTAGTCTGTATTCTCTCCATTACCTTTTTTGTAAGGCTTCTCAGATGACCAACGGCTTTATGGCCAAGATATGGAAGCTTTTCAAATCCAGGGATCAATCGGGGAAAGAAGATCAGTTTGTTCTCCCTGAAAAAATTTCCGAAATGAAATGAAACTATGTTTCTCTGTTGACTTCATCTTCATAAACTCTTCGGTGAGCAAGTTGCAGAAATACTTGAGATTGTCGCTATCGGAGTACTTACAGCGAATACTTGTAAGAACGTTGGTAATAACATTAGAGACGAAAAGCTGTAACTTTGGTTTTTCGACTTCTGTTCTTTGTTTTATTCTACCTGAAGTGGCCATCTGAAGTTGACTGGCTTGTTTCCAGCGCATAAGCTTTTTACGTGTTGAACACAATCATCCATGGAAGCTCTCACCTAAACCAATGGGTTCAATTGATCTAACAATGCTGTTACGTTACTTGAATTTCCATTTCATTCTTGCCCATGCCGAAATCTCTCAGAATATGAAGAGAAGTTCTTCTTTCGTCTTTCCACTCTTCGCCCTTGAACGAATTGAATTAACTCAATCTCGTCGTTATGAAAACCTGAGAAAAGATTATTCCTCCGTTCTCCTTGCATTGGAAAAGGTTGTCAGGATAACCTCCTGGTCGACCAACGTAATCATCAGCTGAACAAAACAGGAGTTAACATGTTGTTTGAATGAGATAGATGAACCTCTGGTGACGAAAGCATCTTTGATTCCTTCATAACTCATGATGCAAATAGTGGGGTCAGGAAGGAAAATAGTGAAAACATCCCCATAAGTTTCTGATAACTTCTGGAGGTAGCCATGAGAGTCTTTGAATTCAAACTGAAGAGTATATGAGTATGAACAAGCAAGTCTGAGAAAGTAACGAACGCTTAGAAGGTTTCCTAAGAGAGGTAGAGGTCTTGGACCTCTTGGATACTTACTGACGTTCCAGTAGTAGTAGAATACATATGCTATTACAAGTGCGAATAGAGTAAGTATAATGGCGGCAGCCATCTGAAACGAGAGCAATGGAGTTAAACGTTGATGGCTGTTATCTGTTCGAGAAAAATGTTTATAAAGGAGAACGATAAGCTTATTTTGGTTAAACAAGCACAAAGTAGAACACTTATGAACTCTCAGATTGCAGCTCTTATTCTGACGTAAAATGATCTTGTCTGCCCTTCCTTATAAAGGAAATTCAGATAACATGTGAGAAGAAGACCAGTTCGATAGTTATCAAATCACAAAACTACAGGTTCTCTCCTTTTCAAAAATTTTTTTGCGTTGGAGACTTCTTTCAAATGTTTTTAAAACTCGATTGTAGGTTGAGAGTAAATGTAGGAACAATGAAAGACACATCTCACTCATTGTTTCACAAAAGTCGCGGTGAAACATCAATCGACCACTTCAGAAACAGTGTTGATAGACGTTTTGTGATAAAGTGTGATGGTCTCATCATTCCGTAACATTCTATCACAAATTGTCTTCTTATCATTTATTTTCTATTTTTTGAGATCTTAATTCCCAATCAGACAACACATTAGCACGTTTAGACAGTCTCAAAGAACTGCAAAGTAGGCTAAAGATCACAAGAATGAACTGTTCGATAGCCAAGGTTAGCATGTTGATTCTTCTCCTTCAATTTTCAACTACAATGACTACGAATCCATCTATTAGTTCAATCTATGAATTACATAATAAAGATAATCTTCAACCCGATGACGTTTCAGAGGTTGATAACCGCCTACACTCTAGGATTTAGTTTGTAGCATAAAAGTGAAAAAAAAGAGAAAATTATATCTTCACATCGAATCAGCATAGTAATAAGAAACCAGTTGGGTAGCTCGAAGAATGAGCTGAGATTGAGAAAGATATCTGAAATGCTCCAACTCAAAGAGGCGCGTAATTTGAAAATGTGTTTACGAGTCTGTCAAGGCATTTTCGAGACGAACTGATGTCTTAGTCTATTAGAGCACTGTTACAATGATAATGGCAGATCAGCTTGAATAAGTTAATATTCAATAAAAAAATCCGACCATAAGCTAATTGGATATCATAAATGATTTTCAAAATCGAATTGGTAGATTTTTTTATTTCTCGTGTTTGGGAAGCAGAGAACGGTTGTGTTTTTTTATTTGTAGCGCATTACTGTTAGGGAATGGTCGAACCCCGTCGTGTTAGTTCATTTTCATGTGATTTGATGTTTTCCTCGTTTTCAGCCGAGTACTAGTGCAAGTTCGCCTCGAACGTTCCGTTTTTTAAAGAAGATTGTGAATTTCTTCCGGAACCAATTGTTCTCTGAGGTTTGAAGACGACCAAAACAAATATATCAAGTATTCCAGGATGCATTGAAGCTCCACGTTTTCATGTATTGGCTGTCTTGCCTTATCAAGCTCATGAAATCCGCTGATGAAAGCTGTTAGTCCAATTTTAGTTGTCAACAAATCAGGAATTTTAGTTTTTGCAACTCTGAGTGTTGCTTTATCAGCCTTTACCCTGATCAGTGCTCTGGTAGCAGTTGCTGGAAGAAAACCATTCTACCTCATTCCTTTCGCTACCATCTCAGTAAGTTCTAAAGAGTTGATGAGTTAACGGTTAGCTAGGTATATGAGATAATGGAAACTCTGATTCTCGTCAATCTCGTCAATATCAAATTCCACAGTCCTGATTATTACGAGAAACTCAGCACGAACTCCGGTAAGATATCAACATTAGCATGCCAAGCTGTTGTGTTCAGTTTGTAGATTCTTGCTGAAGAACGTGGGTACATTGAGTGAGGATTCCCTTCCCACATATATCTTATGGAGTATTCTTTATGCCACCTATTTTGGTATTGTTGTCGCAACAACGCTGAAATTGATGAAACGATATTCTGAGTTTCAAGTTTGATCTGTCTTCGGTTCACTCTTAATTATTTCTTCTTACAGGTGAGACTCACTTCCTTAGGCTCACAGATCATTCTGAATCAAGCACTGGTGGATGAGTTGTATTATGGAAGGCTTGTAAGTTTTCCCAACGACTTAGAGAATGTTGTTCAGAACGCAGACAGTCCACCTCATTACTCAGTAAGTACTAGGAACTCAAGATTCGAACAAAGGTTGCATTTAGGAAATCTTCAGTCGTTCCAATAACACCTCATTGCCCAAATACTCTCAAATCAAGGATAAAAGGTATTTTGAATAATTGAGAAATATATAACTGAAGGATGTTAGCGGCTTTAAGGATGAACGTCGACTAGAAGAATAGGCAGTGTAATCCATATATGACCTGAACTACTAAATCGTCTTAGAGGTATATTTACTTTGAGCTAAACACATAAAGACATTTCCATTTATGGATTGTTAAGAAAAGCCCTTCTGATTTCCAAAACTGTATGACTTCCTTTATCAAAATGTTATTGTTAGTGATAAGCTTCCAACCAGAATCATGTTCAAACATGGTAATGGCAATGACAACTTTCCCATCATATCGTCCATCCTGCTTATTTGAATAGATTAGAAGGTCAATAATGACCTTATATGTAATAAGACTTTAGAATAACAAACGAAAAAACGTTTCACATCCGTTGTATCTCTTTAATACTTCCTTACCAACACTTCCTTACTTCCCTTCATTAGCAACAACTACCATCCAAACAGTTATTCTCCAATTCAACACCTACAGCTATCTATCTCATTCATTGCTTACTTTGTTTTCCTCTCATTATATTGGCATCCCTCCAATTCCTGTTCAATGAACTCTTTCAATTCAATGCTCTCTTTCCACTTTCGGTTATTAGAGAAGAGAGAAAGACTATCACTAGACACTAACATCTGTTTTCAAGAAGTTATTCTTCACTTTCTTTCATGTTTTATCCACACAGATTTAATTACCAAATCTTTTTCGAAGTACATACTTGAGTTCCAATCTCTCTAAGCAGATGGTTTAACTCCTTAAAGTAGCTCATCATTGGATAAAATTTTCGCTCCCGGGTGGGCTCGAACCACCAACCTTTCGGTTAACAGCCGAACGCGCTGCCTATTGCGCCACGGAAGCACTGTATAACGACTGTCACTAGTCTGTCATGATCTTTTTTTGAGCCATGGGAATTAGTTCAGTTTCGATATTGTTTGTAGTTTTTTCGAAAATGATCGTAGGTTTTTCGAATGGTACTCTCATCTTTCATTTACACGATATCCCTCAGCTGGTCATTAGAGCTGCTCTAAGAATTTCACTTACCCATGTATGAACATGCAAACGATCAAGCATAACTCATTAGATGTTCATTACATTTGAAAAATAGTTTCTTTCCATTCTTCTTGGATTGATGAAACATATGAGACATTCTAAACGTTTCCAATGTTCATACACAGTTCATTCGAGATGTCAGAGAGAAGCGTTCGTTTCATATCTTGTGAATGAAGTTAGTTCTATGGTTCTGATCAAATGACGATTGTCATCGAATCGAATTTGACACTTCTAAGCAAAAGAAATTAAGCTTCGCACCATGGGATTGACCTTATTTGAGACATGCCAGCATGTAAGAGAGCATCCCATCTTCTTCTGATATGAACTTTCTACTACATTTAGTCATCATGTCGTGTTCGTTCAATTAGTAAATCGAGTTGACTTGACCGTCATTAGATACTGGCTACTAGCTCATTTTCGACCATTCAGGCGTAAATTGAAACTGGCTCAGCCCATTCTGACTGTTCTTGGAAGCATTGAATGTAGTTGAAAGCACTTCCTTAGACTACTCATTAACGACCATGCCTTTCACATATGAATTTTCTTTCATTTTAACTGTTTTAAATCTTTTCGTCCTTGACATGCCATTTTTAATAGGATAATCCCCTGAGGGCATTATTTTTACTTAATATTATTCCTTCTTTAACTATACGGTTTTATGACTTGTTTGATTTGCATTCTTGTTTCAAATATCTAAAGTCAATTATTTTCGTAATTTTCTTTTCATTTATGCATTCAATCGTTTGTGTCTGTCCTTAAACGCAATTTCCGTCTCTAAACGGATTATCCGTACACCTTTTGAGTTGCGTTTCGTCTGATTGTAGCACTACATGCTCTGCTCAATTATATTTTTCTTCAATTTTATTTCAAATTAACGTATTTCGCGGAATTTTATGAATTCCCATGTCATATGCTAGCTAGTGCTCCACCATCCCTCTCTTTCCATCTCTCTCTCTCTCTCGCTTTTCACTACCACATGAAGGTGTTAAAAACATAAAATTGTCTTTTTTAAAGACATAATTGCTTTTTAACGTCAAAAAGACAACTGCCTCATGTGCAGCTAGGGTTTTGCTTCCAATTATTTCGACCTTCTCAATGTTGTCCGTGACTTCTATGAAAATCCTATTAGCATGCATCTGTTGCTAACATCTGCACATTCTGATCTCTCCGTCATAGTCCCCCCCCCTTACTTTGAAGTTCAAAAAAAGAATTTCTGAAACGAATGTGTTTTGGCTAATAGTTTACAATCTTCTAGGTAAATACTTGTCATGCCAACTATCCTTTACAAAGATTTCTTTTATAAACATTAAACTCTATTTGTCATCATTGTTGTATCATTATATACTCTCTTCTCTTCTTATTGCCACCACACAGTTTATCTGTTGCCCCAAGGATTACAGAAAAGATTTTCTTTTCATCTTTGACGTCGGGATTTCCTTTATACTCTTTTGTCTTACTCACAACCGATTAGCAGCTTCATCTACCAGCCAAATATTTAAACTTGAGCCCTGAAATAACATGTCATCTCATGCTTTTAGCTCATTCTTTCCTTTTTTGGAATAGTTTTCAAAAATTGGGCATGACCCATGTGCAGTAGTCAACACTCGAATGTTTTACTCAACCGCTCAGCGCGCCATACTCTTGGAAATTAATAGCAAATGGCGTTGCTTCCACGTGCCACGTAATGAATATGCAAATTAGCCGTGTTCACGTTAGTTTAAGAGTTAACAACCTGTATAACTAGTCAGTGTAAAAGTACTGACAGTAATAAATCCCTTCATCTTTGTGTTTGTCGGTAACAGTCGTAAATCTTTTTTTTTCACTCTCTATTTAACCTATCTAGTCAACTAGCCGATGAGCAGCTGTTTTAGCGTGAAACACGTGTAATTCCAGTCTTAGGGGTCATTTTCGTACAAAATTAATTGCCACCTGACGTTGGCCAAATGATTGTCGGCATTCCTACATCGTCTTTGTGATGTTGAACGAGTGACCGCGGTCATCTTCATGGCTGTCATTGTTTCTTTACAATCCTCTTTATTTTTGTTTTTATTACGTCATAGGAAATAAAAAAACAAAGTAAAAAGAAATATCATATAATTAGAGGTTATCACTACTTTGTTCTTTAATTGGAAAGTATAGGATAGGCAAGTGGAGGATTAGAATATTTGGGAAGTGAATATGAATTGAGTGAGGATCTCCTACTGCTTGTATGTCCCCTTAAGGCAACAAGCATGAATCAAATATTATATTTAATAATAATAAGGTGCTTATTGAGGGTGTTGGAGAATGATTCTTCGGCTTTTGCTCTCATTCTATTCACTCTTTTCACACCTTTTCATTGAAACTGCAGATGACCAAACTCAATTCTATGTAGCCATACCATATAATCAAGAGTCAATGCTTATTGAGATGAGAAAGAAACATCACAGCTGGTCATTTCTCACACGTTTTTCAATTGTCCTCAACCAATAATTAACTTTTTACTTTTTTTTTCTCGTTACCGTTCTGTTTTCGAAAATTCAAAATTGAAAAGAAAAAGATGAGCAAAGGTAATATGAACATCTTGAGAGAGAGAGAGATAGAGAGAGCCTTCTAATTATATGATGAGAATATGAACTTGGTGAGAATGAGTTGATAACACTATAGGTTATTTCCTCATTCGCACTCCAAACATTTACCTTCAGAATGCTCTTTGAGAGGCCTGAAGCCGCTTTTTTGAGAAAATGAAATGATGTTGAATGTTGTAATTATGCGTAGATCATTAAAAGAGTAATAGCTATTCGTTACTTATAATTTCAAAAGAATTTTGAAGGTTAATGAGTTTTGGTTGAAAACACCACTCAGATGGTTGAATCATGCAATGAGAGTGATCCCTCTTACCTTTTAAACATCTTTTGGGTGACAATGGCTTTTCCATATAAGGAGTAACATATTTTTTAACCTAATTAACACGTTTTCGTCTAAACGATTATCACCTTATAGAGTATCTTTTGTTAAATGCTCGGTGGGTGGTTGAGCTTACTGAATGACAGGGGTCAGCTAAGCACCTGTACTTGAGTGAAGCTTGTGGACATGCTTATGGAAATCAGGTCGTTCATTGAATGAACCGAGACGATTAGTATTATATCAAAAGTGGATAATAGTATTGGAATGTCTAGAAGATTAGCAAAAACAAACAGATGTTTGTGAGTTTACTCATCAACTCATGGTGATCAGTTGATTGAGAGCATCTGAATGTATCAAGACTATCGATTCTACTATTCAATTATATATTTATAACTAGATGATTGAAAGCATTGTAGTTGTCTGTGTGTGTGTCTATGTACCATGTACATGAGAGAGAGGGAAATGAAAGAGAGTGAGAGAGAAATGATTAAATTATATCCTTAACTATATGATCATCCTGTAGCTATTGCATATTATTATTAACTCTATTTACTACTTGTCTTGTACACTTCAACTTCCTTCTCTGTCATTTACATATTGTGAAAGAAATGAATGAATGAGGTCCTTTCTGTCAATTGAAGGACCATGAGGACGAAAGCAAGCGGAAAATAAGAGAAATAATTAGTTTGAACAGTCTATGTTCGTTCTCGCAACTCCATCAGCCATCTGTAGGAGATCTAGAAAAAAAACATTTTTTGTTTCGCATTCTTGTTGTCCGTTTGCACTTAGTTGGAAGTGGTAGAGTGATTGAAATGAACCAGACGGATTGGATTACAACAGAAAAATAAAAGTATAAGCTTCATCCATTTATGGAACATCTGCTAAGCTGTGATTGTCTCTGTTGATATTCAATATCGGTTCCGTGTTCCTTAACGAAACATTTATATTATATTTCATTTGGTATGTTAAGAGAACTCACCAGTCCAACTTCTTCTTGCTATCTATATACATACTTTCTTAATTAAGGAATAATAAATGAGGATACATCTGTCATCTTGTCTTATTTCAATATTGCTTACTAACTATACGTTATAATAATGAGTGCAACTATTTCTATAGTCAGTATAATTCGT